GAAGGTCTCCCTGCAGGCCTTTCCTCGGGTGACTCCCTGAAGGTCTCCCTGCAGGCCTTTCCTCGGGTCACTGCCTGAACATCTCCCTAATACCTCCCATCAGTATGTTTTAACATACTTTCTATTCGTTGATTTGTTCCGAGCTAAAATGAGTTGGACTTCTTCTTTTGTCTTTGCTGTTGTCACTGTTGATTGGACAGGCAAAAACTTGGTAGGTTCTTGGTTTGAATGTAACGTTACATCAGCCAAAGTTAAACTATAATTTTTTGGTGTTTTTTACTGTATGGTGCTGAATGTAGTGTGCCCTAGAGTGAATTCCAGTCCTCATGTCCTCAAAAATCACTGAAGCCATTTTTTCACTGCTTGTGCTAGTAGATTAATTCCAGTCAATAAATATAGCAGTATATTGTCCTTTATACAGAACAGTGCACAAAAGCCAGATTTAGAATTTGAAAATGCATAGAATTTGTAAATGATAACCGTATATTGCTGAAGAATGTTAAGGGCAGTAGATATCAGGCAAATATATTTTATGATGAACTCATAGCGCTCTGTCTCTGAGACATCTGCCCAAACGTATATTAAGTATCAGACTCATTAATCGACACCCCGCTGTTTCAAAATCTGATGAGTAGGTTCAGGTGACGTTTTAGATGGAGGTTCTGGTCGACCTTGTTGACCTCTGTGGTTAGCCAGTTATCAAGTGCAGAGTCAGGCAGCCTCATTTAAGGCTCCTCCTATTGAAAGGTGTCCAGGCATCAAACAGAACCTCAGACTTCATGCAGGCGTCACGCTAGTGGGAAACCAGCTGGTACCGGCCTCTTCGGTGAGTTCTGGTTCGCCTGCTTGCTGCTGGAGCAGCGCTACATGGAAGCTAAGGGTGGCAATGCTGGAATCACATCAATGTGTAACCTTGAATGTTTTATAAAAAAATAGCTGCACCCTATGCACTTATTTCCATAGACATTGTTTATATTCTGCTCGTCTTTGGGGGTCATCAATTTAATTCCTGAGCGGTTTTTATGTGGGGGGGGGGGTTGATTTTAGATCTTTTCCTTCCAGGTGTGTGGTACTTTGGGCTCAGATATGGTACCAAAATCTGAAAGTGCTTCTTGCCCTCATTATGCAGTGATTAACAAACATAGAAGGTTTAGGTGTTCGATACACTAGTTGAATAAATATCTGTTCTTGGTCTGGGTCGCATAGGGGCCTGGAGCCAATCACATGCAGTGCATGGGATGCAAGTCTATGGCAGGGCACATACATGCAATGGTGCATTTGCCCTGTCAGGCAACGGTGCTACTCACTGAGCCCCTGTACTGCCCGTTAAACTAATCGTGACAGTGCAGAATGTGTGACGTGAGAATGCTAGCGTCCATGTGGTGGCATCGTGTCACTTTACCCTGCCTCTGGATGGCGCCCAAGGCCACAGTGGCATTTCCAGACAAACCCTGAGCTTAAACGGTCTCCCGAGTCACTTATTTCAGTGCTGGTGGCCAGATGTGTCATTTCTGTGTGCCGCCCCTGTAGCCCTCATCATCTGGGGGTGGGGGGGGCAGCAGCACCTCCCCCAGACTAAACCAAAGCCAGCTCATTAGAGAGAGCTTGAAGCTCCCTTTTTAGGTGGCTGTGAAGCGAAGGCTGGCCCGCAGGGAGTTGGAGTGCCGATGCGTAGCACCAGGTGTATGAACTTAACAGCCACGTGTAACCTGTTACTAATGAATTTCCCCCAGCTTTCAAGTGGTCCGACTGAATTATTTATAATACAGATATTAGTCCCATTCTTTTTTCTTTCACGCAGCCTTATAATTAATGATGGCCCACTCAAGGTACAAACAGACGGAGCCCTAGAATAATTCTTTAAATGTTTATCTTCCCTGTAAGCGATTCGAGTTCTTGATTGACCTTCATGACGTCTGATGGCTATCACTTCCTCGCTTCCGTAGCTTTTTATTTTCTCCGAAGAGACTGTGAGATATTTGTAGCTCCTTTTGCCACAGATGACGTGTTTACCCGAATGCATCGATTTTGTGCTTCCCCTGCAGTTTCTGTAAACCAGTGAAGGAGGGTGTAACTGTTTAGTATAATTCACCACACTGGAATACTAAGGGAATTCAAGTGGCCAGTGCATTTTTCATGATAAAAAAAATGCAGAGATTCCAGACCTGAATGAAAATATTCTCATAAAAATGATTTCATTACCCACTGTGCTACACCAAAACTAGTTTGTTTATTTTTCTTTTTTTTTCCACAGAAAAATTCAAATCACTGCAGCTCTTAGAATAACACTCTACACTTTAGCTCTAACATTAAAATGTTATTTAATTTATATCAGAGAGCCTGCTGGAATATTTCAGGGTTATCGTAATTACTGGCGCTCAGCACTGCTTTTTAAAGGGGCCACTTTGATTTAAGTCTCTGTTAATGAAGTGCTAAGTGTGTGAAACGGGGAGCTAAAGTGCTGCACGGGGTATGTTACACCAGAGTCCCCCAACCTGGACCTCAAGGACCCCCAGGCAGTCCATGGATTTGCCCGTTCTAGGAGCTGGGAGGGAGCAAGAACATGGACTGTCTGGGGCTCCCCGAGGACCGGGTTGGGAAACACTGCATTAGAAGTGCCCTTCTGTAGCCTTCGTTTCGGATGCTGGATTGGGTAGCGGACAGCAAAACCTCTGAGCACTCCTTCCTGTGGGCCGCCTTGAAAGTGATACCCCCCCTACCCTCAAAGCAGCAATGGGAGCAGTAGGATACAGGTGTCGTCTTTCAGATAGGATGTTATTTTCGGGACAAATTAAATTTTCCTGTATCATATTCACGTCGCTGCAAAAAGGAGAGAGAACGATCCAACATGCCCTCTGAGCTCAGCAGGTAAGTATTTACCTAATGACTGAACTGTGGGCTGTGTGCAGTGTGACTGATGTGCATCCCACTGAATTATCTCAGGCTTGCTGCTATAATCCACTTAATATGCTGTTATTATCCACTGAGCCCCCGGTTTGCACAGACCAAGGATTCACTAAAATAGTGTGCGAGAAGGTGGTTCTGCTGTCACGTGTACAGAGTACAGTAAAACGATCGTCTGCTTCTTGCGGAGCACTGCGCCATATAAGGCAATCTATGCTCAGTCATTGATAAATAACAGAAAGTAATAATGCCACTGCATCATTTGCACAGACTCATAGCGTATGTAGTTGTTAAATGTGATATGTGACATTTGCTAATGTTGTTAAAGAAGAAGAAGGTTGATTCCTCCTTATGGAATTTGTTCAGGGCTGTTTTGTGGTGTTCGTTTGAGTTTTAGGGTGAATATTCTCTATTCATTTTATTTTTTAAACAGTTTAAAAGAATTCCCGTGTTGATGAAGGTTGTTTGAGGATATGTGGGACCTTGCTTCAGTGCATTACACCGTGCAGTGACTGTAACGTACATGCAAGAGCTCTTCAGAAGGTGCCCGCTTTCTGCATTACCCTCTTCCCGCACTCTGTCCACTCTCTGCTCACATTCTGCATTGCCATCTTCCCTCTCTCTGCTTACATTCTGCATTGCCATCTTCCCTCTCTGCTCACATTCTGCATTGCGCTCTGCCTGCTTTCTGAGTTGCCCTTTGCCCACTCTCTGTGGTGCTCTACCTGATTTCTGCATTGCCATCTTCCTGCTCTCTGCCCGCTTTCTGCATTGCCCTTTGCCCGCTTTCTGCATTGCCATCTTTCTGCTCTCTGCCTGCTTCCTGCATTGCCATCTTCCCTCTCTCTGCCTGCTTTCTGCATTGCCCATTGCCCACTTTTCTGCCTGCCCTTTTCCCACCGTCTGCCTGCTTTCTGTGTTGCCCACTGCCCTCTTTCTGCCCACTCTGTGCTCACTCTTTGCATTTACCCTCTTCCTCTTGCCCATATGTGCCTCTCCTCCTGCTTTAATTTCATGACCGACTGATTTAACATTTAATGCCAGACTAGATCCCATTAAGGCTGCAGTCATCCCATTGTAAATATTATGCCGTAGATGCTGAGGCTGCCCTCCTTTGGCTCTGGCACCGTGCTTGTACAAGCAGACCAGCAAACATTTATATGTTAATGGTTATGCAAACCTGCTGTGGATCGGTCTGTCTGTCCCGGGTAGGTGTTGGATGGGTAGTGAATGGTTAGACTGACCTATAAAACAGTGGATGCATCACACATGAATTAATCTGTTTGTATACAATTGAAACCATTTAACAAAGTATTATCAGAGCATTGATAAACGCCTCCTGCTGACCTGTTTGCCTGTAAGCTGCACATTAGCTTTAATCATGCACCTCTGGTACTTAAATCTGCACGCTTTGTGTGTTGGGGCTTGGTTGATGCCATGAGCGTGATGTGTGCATGGAGCGCGGTGCTGGGGAGGCGCTGTGGCCCCATGACGGCCCATACTGGTGGTGGGGGGGGGGGGATAGATGAGAACTGACATTAGCGGGATGTAAATGATTCAGGATGCAGCCATGCCTGACCGACCCAGCAATCATCTTCAATAATGCAGCACTTGACGAATCCCTCCCTCCGACCCCTGTGTGTGTGTGTGTGTGTGTGTGTGTGTGCGCGATCGTTTGCATGTGCCTGCACTTCTCCATCCCACACACTGACAGGACTGCGGTTTCTGCCTGTCGTTGCTCCATGCGTTGCCTGCAGCGAGATGCATTAACTGGGGTCAGTGCTGCATTGGAGTCGCTGCCCATCGTCTTGCGGCTGATTGCGTCTCCTGTAGTGATCAGGGGCAGACAGACTGTTCTCCACTTTGCCCCTCATTGTCATCATCATCCCGTACAACACAGGGGAAGTATCAAGAGTTGTCACTCACAAAATGTCTCCTTTGGATTTTAGGCCTCTTGACAAAGACAGGAGAGAGAGATAAAACTCTTTTCTAAACTGTGAACTCCTGTTCTGCTTTTATCCAGACCCATTAATTGAGTGTGCCAGGCCACATCCACATGCGTTCATTTCTCCAAGTAGAAACCATTCGGGTTAGGTTGCTGGTCTCTCGCCATGGTCACCTGCTCCAGGTGCTCTTCTGTCTGTTTCTGAACTCCCAGCTTAAAGTTTACAACCATTTCATTTAAAAGTGTTTTGCTGGCCACAGAGGAAACAGGAGAGTCCTGAGCTGATGAGTTAGGGATGAGCTGGAGAAGCTGGCATCTACCCGCATTGAAAACTGGCAGGTAAAATACACCAATGTCCACTAATCATCTGTTCCAAAACTTTCAAGATAAAGGTAAAACCAGATGCACAGAATGGCTATTGGCTAGGGGCTTCTAAATCCACGAAGGCCTCTCTTTAAGCATCTCAGCTGGATGAATACCTCTGTGGCTGTGGGTCTGACACGCCCTGGTCCAGGCCCGCAGAGATCCGCAGGGAGCAGGGCCGCTGCCGGGCTTAACGATGTACTAGTGCCTCACAGTATCAGTGGATTCCTTCCAAGATCTGAGAGCTCATCCTGCCATACATTTTGCAGCCGTCAGGGATGCCGTCGTTCTCATAAATACTCTCTATGGCAATGCCGTCGTTTCCCTGCAGAATTTGCTTCAGAAATGAAACAAATCAGCAGTATTGTCATCAGCTTATTGCTTTAAGGGTCTGTTTTTTCCTAGCGGGCCCAAGCATTCATCTTGTGTCCGTGTTTATCATGGCTGAGGGTTGGGAGTTTTTCCCGTGCAAAGCGGCAGCTCACCGGCCTCCTGGCGTCTGCATCCGCCGCTTCAATCAACTCCTCCTGTTTGCCGATGTGCGTCTCCAGTCCGCGACCGACCGGCCGTCACTCACGTGCATTTCGGTCTGGCTCAGCTGTTTTTTCCATTAATTTTTTCCCTCTAAGTTTGAAATTCACTGTTGATTGTTTCACCCCCACATTTGTTAGAAGTACAACAAAGAGACTGAGAGGGTTGATTAACGGGGAGACTTAATTGCTTAATAATTTATGACGCAGAGTCTGCAAGCCATCTTTACCACGTTAAACCGAAACTGCCGATCGATGACATCCAGCCCCATCCTGGCATTTACTCTGCTGTTAAGTGAAAATGGAGGGATTATCTCTGGGCCGCGTTCCTTTGAGTACCTCACCATTGCCTGCAGCCTCACGCTGGGATCCCATAAGCAGCCTTGGTGTGCAGACACATCACAGGGGCGCTTTTGCCCAGCCGGGAGGCTGCGGGCCTGACCAATCACAAGGCGAGTATGTAGCGTCCCTCCCCTGCCGTCGCCGGTCTCTCTGGCACGGCCGCCTCTCCGGTTTGCTGACAGACGCTAAGAGATCCGGCATCCTGCCGTACCCATGTCAAAGTGCAGCGAAGGGCCATGTAAGAGGAGCCTGAGCTTAGGTTACTGCTGTTAAATGCTTTCACGCCTGTTCTCTTTGTCAATGGACTTGACCTGTTGCATGTATCATTCACTGTTCTCTCCTGTAAGAAACCTTTAGGTTGACCAGGTTCTGGTTATAAGTTTTCAAATGCAGTAATCATTACTAATTGGTTTGTAAGACCTGTTACTCATCAGGCATTGACCAGACTGTGCTTGATGAGCTTGTAATTTGAATCTGTGATACTACAGAATGGAAGCTAATCTCTCCTATAGCCAGCCGCAGTATTGGTGTCCTCTCTGTATTTATTAGACTCTTTTAGTGCTAAAGCGGAAAAATATGAGCTAAAGGGAATCATTAACAAAACTGCGGCAGCGCCGGCCGTTGGCTGTTAGTGTTTGTGTGAACATCACCCAGGTCCCCCAAGGGATAAATGCCTCGACTCAAACGGCTGCTTCCCTGCAGATGTGTCCTCAGCGGCATCTGCGTCGCACGGGGGCCCGCTGGAGCGTGGGGGCCTGGGCTCTGTTTTGAGGGACCTGGTGAAACCTGGAGATGAGAACCTGCGTGAGATGAACAAGAAGCTTCGCAACATGCTGGAGGAGCAGCTAACCAAGAACATGCACCTCCAGAAGGTAAGTAATGGGCTCTAGGACCCCCTCTCCCTCCCTGCTGGCCCCCGGCCTCTCGGACCCCCTCTCCCTCCCGGCTGGCCCCCGTCTTCTTGGATCCCCTCTCCCTCCCGGCTGGCCCCCGTCTTCTTGGATCCCCTCTCCCTCCCGGCTGGCCCCCGGCCTCTCGGACCCCCTCTCCCTCCCGGCTGGCCCCCGGGCCTCTTGGACACTGCCCCTCTCCCCCCGGTCCTCTGGAAGTCCCTCCTGGGCCGCAGGGGGCTATATGAAGTCAGTGACGTGACCGTTTAGGTGGCTCCTTGTTACTGGAGACCAGGCATATTCCCGCTTTTACTACATTAAATGCTTATACGTACAGGAATAGAAATGAAGGCCAGAGGAATTTTCGGCTTGTTGGCCACTTGGGATCAAACGGAGTGAATAGAAAGCAATCCTAACTGCTGCCACTTGATGTATAAAACATCAAGCCGATAGCGGGGGAGCTCTGGTGGGATCGCTTCCCTCTGCCGGGGGCACAAAGCCAGCAGGGCGCGATGCGGGGGGTCCCGCACACGGCCCGCAGCCTGGGAGCATGAGCGGGCTGAGTGGGGGGTAGGACTGCGGAGGCTGGAGGCAGGCCAGGTCCTCGCTTGTGATGTGTGGGAGGCACACATGCCCAGGGATATACAGTCAGCCAGATTTAACCTGGGCCGCAGGGAGCGGGAGGAGGTGACGAGAGCAGAGACGCTGCTATTGATGCTGGGATCGGTACCGTGGCACCATTCATGCCGGCGCAGCAGGGAGGCTGTGGGGAAGCTGCCGGACGTCAGCAGTGAGGGATGCACTGTGCCTGTTAACAGCCATGTAACTACCTGACTGTGTTGGAATGTAGTGAGCAGATCTGAGACTAATGAGAGAGAGCGTGCCAAGTCCGAGCTGCTAACCTCCCATATGTGGGGAGGCTGTCCGCCATACTGGTGACCGGACAGACGGGGGGAGAATCTGCAGGCCTCTGCCCACACAGAGGGCTGATTCTCTCCCAGTCTTCCGTCACCCAGCAGTGCTTTGGGCCAGACGTCCTACAGACAGACGGCCCTGTTGCTCTTTGATGGCCTCTGCTTTCAGGCCAGTCCAGTCTCCTGCGTGTGTTTGAGGCTGTGAGGCTGATGAAGGCTCCCCAGTGGGGTGAGCCTTCTTTCCCAGCTCCGTCAGTTTCAGCCCGGCCTCTATAGGGCAGCAGCAAGTCTAGCAGAGTCTCTGAGCTGCTCTCTCCTCTATAAAGTGCTACAGTGTTCACAGATTCGTGCAGTCTGGATATGCCCTTGAGCAAGAAAAATAATGACACACACTTTTAATTTGTGTCAGAAGAATTTTATTAATAGAGTCTGTTACCTCATTTATGCATGCTTGCTGTCAGTTTGCGGTCTCTGGCCCTCGCTCTGGGTGCAGGGCCTCTGCAGACCCTTGTGTGGAACTTAATTACTGTTTTCCTGTCTATTACCCAGGACCTGGAAGTTTTGTCTCAGGAGATCGTTCGCTTAAGCAAAGACACGTGCACAAGTTCAGGTGGGGATCCTACAACTACTGGCTAGCACTGGAAACAGCCCCCACCTGCCACCCACTCCATTTGACCCCTTTTCACCGTTTCTGCAGCTGAGACGAGGTGGATGCCACCCGGCTGTGTAAAGGACTGTAACCTCTGGCAGGGAGGGAGGTGGAGAGGGAGACGGAGGTTTGAAATGTATCTGCTACTGAATGTATTTATTGTCACAATGAGCTGTGTCTGTAAATCTGGCGACCTTGTGATGTATGTGGCACGGTGGCAGTGCCACCAGGAGCCGGGGGGGGGAAGGTGTGTCTTCACGGTGCAGCACTCATTCCTACCTTTGAAGGACTTCGATGGGTCACATGAAGTGAACCTCATAGCAACGCTACTTTAGACTTGCTTTGTTGACATAGAGAATTCCTTATTAAGCTCTACATAAGTCAAACTTAATCTGCAGTCTGTTTGGAACCACAGGTATTCGCTAATTCAAACAGCCATAATTAATCTTTTTTTTCTAAAGCCCGATTAATCGGTGACCGTCCATCTCGGCAAATAAGGGACCACGATCAGGATGTAATAAAGGGTCGAGAGGTAATACAAAGTCTTATATAGTACTTAATAAGGTCTTATGTCTGCATTGCACATCCAAAGTGAAGTCATCGTGCTCACGGTTAGACGATAGGATTTCGTTAGTCGGTTCGCTGAATTGCGGCTTTCAGGTTAAATGTCATTAGGGGAGCCCAAAGAGCGTCGGCAGCCCCCTGATCAGGTCCCCCCTCCATGGCCCCTCTTGTATCTTTCCGTCCAGTCCTCTGGCTAGCATGCCCCCCACCCTCGTCCCGCTAGGGCCAAGCAACATGGCGCTTCCTCCATAAAATGTGTCGCTTGACTTCTGCTGGACAGATCGGTGTGGGATGATCACATGACCTGCCCTAACTCCTGTGAATACGTTGGTTCTGGGGGGGGGGGGGGCAGGGACGCTAACTGTAACATGGGAAATCCGTAGGGGGGGCATTCCTGGAGAAGATGCGCCAGTCTTATACATATTATTCAGACATATTCAGACGCCTTAGGCTGAAAATGTCCCTTTTTCATTCTGGGGCTGAGACTTTATTTATTTGATTTTCTTTTGCCTTTGACTTGCATTTGCTGTACATCTGCAGTAAAAGGTGGCTGCTTGAACTCTGTAAATCTGTATAACAAAATGCTAATTTAACACTTAAAACCATGCTGGTGGGAAAAAAGACACGGGCTGCCTGTTTGAACCCCGAGCTTAAAATAGTCCATCTAGGTCATTATGTAAGGATTCTGGTTTTCGAGTAAATGCCGCTTTTCCTGATCGCACTTTTACACTATTTCATTACGCTTCTTTTTGGCAGCATGCTGACACCCCCCTGACTGCTCATTTGAAGTTAGGCAGTCCTTTCTTTGTTGTTAAATCCTGAGGTAGTTCCCCCCCCCCCCAGCACAAACAGCATGGTGACTGCAGCCTTCCTGGGAGAACTTCCACATCTGCTTCACTACGCTGTTACCCAACAGCGCCCAGCTGCCTCTCTGTGCTGAGGTTTCACACTCCAGTTCCTGGAAGCTGGTAGTCTTTTGTTCCCACTTACAATCCCAGTTGGTTAGATATACAACTGGCATCTATTACACTGGAAGACTGCGTTTGAATTAATTCTTCGACATCACAGCAGGGGAGGGTTCGGCTTGCTGTATGATGTATCGTTCCTTACTTCCTTTATTTTAAGTATGTGCTCTTTTATCAGCTAAAAAGTTGCAGCTTGATTCCCAGTGGCCAAATTCTGTAACTGGTGGGAAGCTGCTGTCTACCTGTAAGTTCTCCAGGTTCTGCTCTGGCTAGCACTGACATTTGAGCTTTACTGCTGCCTGGGGGGGGGGCGGGTCTACTGCTAGGATGCATCCCACAGATATGACGGAGTAAGGCCAGAATGTGTTTATGTGACTAGTAACATTTATACTGGGTTATTAAAATTCCCAGTTAGATACAGATGGCCACTAGCTTGCTCAAGCATTTTTATCCTGTTTTATATCATCTGGAATTCACACCTTCATTATCATAATTGTTGCATAATGACTAATTTACAAAATATCTTTGTATTAATCAGCATATCTACCCCCTAATAAAATATTGATTCTGCATTTTTTTCCCTTTGGAATGTAGAGTTTTATCTTTCAAAAAATTCCTTTACATTACAAATTCTGTTCGTATCCCAGCCTCAAAGGTGCGCTAAACATTTTGCTTTGAATAGAAGTAACTCCATTTAAGCCGTGACACTCAGTTAGCATGTAGCCCAAGAGCGACTGATGTATGCTACATATTCATTCTATATAACATGGTGGACTGAGGAGGACTAGACCTGGACCTCCTGATGGGGTTGTCATCTCATTAGTGACACATTATTAAATTTATTAATGAAGTGAGGAGAAAAACGAGGTTGGGGGGGTAGGGGTGGGCATTTGGTCGCTCTTGTAGGGAGTTAATGTTGTTCTGTAGCCTCTAATGCCAGTCCAGGCATTTTATACACGCATTCATTTATTAACTATTGATGGATTATTGATTTCCCAGATGTGCACGTGAGCCCCTTGAGGTCTGTGCTTGTCATTAACATTTTTGTACTAGTAGAGTCTTTACATGCATAGGAATACACTAACACCCACCAGAGAGAAGGTCGTTTTTGGGCAGTATTATTTTCAAAATGTATCGTGTTCTCTTCCTAGAAATGGAGAATTTATTCGTTTAATTTTGTCACCTAGTTTTTGTACTTTCTTCAGTGTTATCTAGCAGAGGCCGTCTGTCCAGAAGGTGCCTCCAGCAGACCTTATTCTCTTCCACATGTTTTGTTCCACCACTGTTTTCCCCCAGTCATTGTTCATCTTGAGTAACTGATGGTTACAGGGAAATAACATTCGGTTTTGCTGTGACATTTAAACACAGAACTGCTCAAAACATTTCACATGTAATGCATTTTACATGCTAGCTATGCTCCAGATTTTAATCGACCATAAACAGGTGTCCTTTGCAATACTATGTTCCATGTTTATGAATGTTTGACTTGTTTTTGCAATGTGGGAAGTTGTTGCGACGGTGTTTTCAAGAATAAAATAACTCGTACTGCATTTCTGACAAAGGAAATCCTCTTTCTAGGTGTTGAAGTACAAATACTGTTCTGCCTCCATATTAACAACCATCATCTTTCCACTTCCAGTTCAATGCAGCACAATTGGTTCAGCTGAGTAATTGAACTTTGTGTTAATTATAAACCCAAAGGTAAATGATTGCATGTAAATCCTGCAAACCTAATTGATAACTTTCTGACTGTTACTTGTTAATTTAAATGACTGACCCATGTGAAAAAGACACCATTTTTAGATGGGAAGAAATGCATCCTTTCAAATCCATCCTCACTGACATTACCTGTGCAATGGCGGTATGACTGAGCTTCTTTGCTGCAGTACCACTTACCTGACCAATCAAGCTGCTGCATAGTTTATCTTTACCTGAGAAACACACCAATAAAAAATAAAATGATAAAATCCCAGAATTTAGAATGAGGATACAAAAAATGTCTCAGGCGTTGCTTTAGTGCTTTAGCACCCAACTCTAACAAAAATTTGGGTGGTGAAATTTGCTGATACTAACAAACATTTTGAGTTACTTTTGAGAGTGTTTGTCAGAAATACAAACTGCAATTAATGGTGGCGATTACCAAAGGAAAGGCAAGCCTCCCCGGATCATTCCAAGCAAATCCAACTGCGTATATAAAGACACACACAAAAAACCAAGTATCACTGTCATAATTGCTAAATAAAAGATGCTATTCTGTGGTGACGTGCTTCATGTTTTGTTGTAACGTACTCTGTCAATGATGAATAAATGGTAATGGAACTTTACATGAATACAAGTCATACCACATGAAAATACTTCAATGGGTTTTTTTCTTTACCTTTGTTAATGAAATGTACTTATGATTGTAGTTATTCCTTGACCTGCTTCAAGTATTTTCACAAATCACCCTTGGAACAATGACTCATAGGTCAGGAAAGTAATAAATATCCATTCAGGCACCCATAGACTTTCAGTCATTTTTGTCAATCACACGCCCTACGGCTATCCTGTTAAGTTGGATTCCCCCCCCCCCCCCCCCACCCCATCCTCACTGTACTGCTCTTGCATATGTTCTTTTCTCCCTGGTACTTTTTTAAAATGCCTGTCTCCCATTCCCAAAATAAAATCTGTTTCATCCTTCCATTCTAGTGTCACACGACCCTGCTCGCACTCCAGCTCAGCGCAAGTACCGTGCTATGTAAATCTTTTTGCTTAGCATTGAGAAATACTGCCGATTTAATACAAACTTGACAATTAGTGTTTATCAAAGAAGCTACTCTCACAAAATATTACAGATACATTAGAACGCAGGTAATAAATCCATCCATCCATATTCTACACATCCTGCTCAGGGTCCTGGAGGAGCCTGCAGCCTATGGTAAGTAATCTGTCCCATATATACGCGTCTTTTCAGTTTCAGATCCCGTGTGATTTCATGTTAGGCCTCTGATTAACCCCAGCCGTACCAGGGATACGCTGAGCCTTATCTCTAATTCTGACATGTACGCCACTTTGGACAATAGAGTCTACTAAGTAGATAAATGTAATGATGATTGTTCTTGAAGTTTCCATGGTTTCACACTATACCACACATTTCCATACTAATTGGAAATAATTGATGAAGTTCTGGTGGGAACAAAACAGTGATGTATAACTCGGCATCTGAACTTGAAAGGTCTGAAGAGTAAATCAATTTTGACGAAAAGTGGTACATTAATAATAAACAGACAGCGGCAAGGTGCAAAGTTGTATAATGACACATTGACAAAGAAGTTAAAAATCCCCCTCTGAGGATTGTCTCAGATGCAACTTCAGTAAAAAGGTTTGTGTGCCTTAACCATTAATATGTTCGCTTTCTTGTCTGGAGCTTAAGGGTCACGCTTCATGTACAGCCGAAGTGGGGAAGTGCTGACCTGTGCTGGGGATATTGTCAAATGGTGGGAAGAACTGGATAACTTGGTAGACATGCCTTCTTATCAGGAGTCAGTGTTGGATTCTGGTGGAGCAGTATCTACCATCGCAGCTGACGTCACGGCAGTGCTGAGTCCTCCATACATTAAGGCCTCCATACTGATCAGTTTGCAGGGGTAGATGAAATATGTCCAGAGATGTTGAAAGCACTGGATGATGTTGGGGTGAGACGGCTGATGCTTCACCTGGAAGGTGTATAAAGTACCTGAGGATTGTTAGACAGGGGTGGTGGTCCTATTTTTAAAAAGGGGGACTTAAAGGCATGCTCAAACTATAGGGGATCACACTTCTCATCCTAGGAAAACCAATATCAGGGTACTGGAAGAGGAACCTTTATGCATTAGGATCCAGATGGAACAATGGTGATCAGATAATCTGTGTCAGGGAGGACACTTTGAGTTAGTTTAGGTTTTACAAGCTACTTCATAACTGAAGCCCTCCTGTGCTTGGCTAAATAGTTCAGCTCTTCTTATGTTCTCATTTGTTTCCTTGATTGAAAGTCTTATCCAGCTGTTTACATTATCATTAATGACACGTGCATGATTATAGGAGACTGACCAATTGGCACACAGCAAGAACTCAATGCTTCTGTGAAATCCAGGCCCTTTTAACTGAAACATTAGTTCACAAATACTGTCCTAGCTCAAAGTGTCTTCCCCGACATGGATTATCTGGTCGCCCTATTTTGTCATATCTCCACTCCAGTTTATGATTTTCATGGATAGGATATCACGGCACAGTTATGATTGGAAAGTTATTGAGAATGAGAAGCTGGCAGTGACATCCCTGCTATTTACAGATGAGGCTGTTTTTGGCCTCACTCAACCAGGACCTCCAGCACACGCTTGAGCAATTCAATGTCAGTTATGAAGCAGCAGTGATAAGAATCAGCCCCTTCAAATTCTAGAGCATTCCACCCTTTTCCGACTGAGGACCATGGTCTCGGATGTGGAGGTGCTGAATCTCATCCCAGCCGCTTCACACTTGGCTGCGAACTGTTCCAGTGAGAGCCGAAGGTCACGGTCCGATGAAGCCAACAGAACCACATCATCTACAAAAAGCACAGACCTAATCCTGAGGTCACCAAACCGGACACCTTCAACGCCCTGGCTGCGCCTAGAAATTCTGTCCATAAAAGCCATGAACAGAATCAGTGACAAAGGACAGCCCTGGCAGAGTCCAACCCTCACCAGAAACCAGTCCAACTTACTGCTGACCATGCGGACCAAGCTCTGACACCGGTCAGACAGGGACTGAACAGCCCTTATAAGGAAGCCCGGCACCCCATACTCCCAGAGCACTCAGGACTCCCCGAGGGACACGGTCGTATGCCTTCTCGAAGTCCACAAAGCACATGTAGACTGGTTGGGCAAACTCCCATGAACCCTCCAAGACCCTGCTGAGAGTATAGAGCTGGTCCACTGTTTAACAGCCAGGGTGAAACCAACACTGCTCCTCCTGAATCCGAGGTTTGACAATCCGACGGACCCTCCTCTCCAGGACCCCCGAATAGACCTTACCAGGGAGGCTGAGGAGTGTGATCCCCTTATAGTTGGAGCACACCCTCCGGTCCCCCTTCTTAAAGAGGGGGACCACCACCCCAGTCTGCCAGTCCAGAGGCACTGTCCACGCGATGCTGCAGATGTGTGTCAACCAGGACAGTCCAGCAGCATCCAGAACCTTAAGGAACTCCGGGCGGATCTCATCCACCCCTGGGGCCCGGCCACTGAGGAGCTTTTTATCCACCTCAGTGACCTCCACCCCAAAGATAGGGGAGTCCACCCCCAAGTCCCTAGACTCTGCTTCCTCGTTGGAAGGCGTGTTGGCGGGATTGAGGAAGTCTTCAAAGTATTCCTTCCACTGACCAAAAATGTCCCGAGCTGAGGTCAGCAGTGCCCCATCCCCACCATAAACAGTATTGATGCTGCACCGCTTTCCTGCACTGAGCCGCCGGATGATGGACCAGAATCCCCTCGAAGCTGTCCGGAAGTTGTTCTCCATTGCCTCGTCAAACTCCTCCCACACCCGAGTTTTTGCCTCAGTGACCACTGAGGCAGCATTACACTTGGCCCGCCGGTACCTGTCAGCTGCCTCTGGAGTCCCAAAGGCCCTTCTTCAGCTTGATGGCATCCCTCACCACTGGTGTCGACCAGCAGGTTCTGGGATTGCCACTGCGACAGGCACCGACTACCATACGGCCACATCTCTGGTCAGCCGCCTCCACAATGGAGGCGCGGAACATGACCCATTCGGACTCAATGTCCCCCACCTCCCCTGGGACATGGGCGAAGTTCTGCCAGAGGTAGGAGTCGAAGCGGATTCCACCAGACATTCCCAGCAGACCCTCACTTTACGTTTGGGCCTGCCAGGCCTGGCCAGCTTCCTCCCCCACCAGCGAAGCCAACCCACCAGGTAGTAGTCAGTTGACAGCTCCGCCCCTCTCCTCACCCGAGTGTCCAATACATGCAAACGCAAGTCCGATGACTCTACCACAAAGTCGATCATCGAACTGCAGCCTAGAGTGTCCTGGTGCCAAGTGCACATATGGACACTCTTATGCTTGAACATGGTGTTCATTATGGACAATCCGTGATGAGCCCAGAAGTCCAACAACAAAACACCGCTCAGGTTCAGATCGGGGGGGGGGCGGCGTTCCTCCCAATCACGCCACTCCAGGTCTCACTGTCATTGCCCATGTGAGCATTGAAGTCCCCCAGCAGAACGCGAGAGTCCCCAGGAGGAGTGCTCTCCAACAGCCCTTCCAAGGACTACAAAAATGGTGGGAATTCTGAGCTGCCGCTTGGCACATAAGTGCAAATAACATTCAGGACCTGTCCCCCCCACCCGAAGGCGAAGGGAGGCTACCCTCTTGTCCACTGCGGTAAACCCCAATGTACATGTGCCCCAGCCAGGGGGCAATAAGTATGCCCACCCCTGCTCGGCATCTCTCCCCACAAGCAAATCTGGAGTGGAAGAGGGTCCAACCCCCCTCAAGGAGACTGGTTTCAGAGTCCAAGTCATGCGTCGAGGTGAGCCCGACTATATCTAGTCGGAACCTCACAACCTCATGCACCAGCTCAGGCTCCTTCCCCACCAGAGAGGTGACAGCCATTGTTCCTAGAGCCAGCTTCTGCAGCCGAGGATTGGACCCCTTTGGCCCCTCCTACAGGTGGTGAGCCCATTGGAGGGGGGACCCACATACCTTTTTTAGGCTGTGCCTGACCAGGCCCCATGGGTGCGGGCCTGGCCACCAGGCGCTTGCCATCGAGCCCCACCCCCAGGCTTGGCTCCGGGGGTGGGGGGGACCTGGTGACCCACATCCATGCAAGGGAAATCATGTATCCATTGTTTTTCTCTACATAAGGGGTCTAATGAGCCGCACTTTGTCTGGTTCCTCACCCAGGATCTGTTTGCCTTGGGTTACCCTACATGGGGCATATACCCCCAGGCAGCTTAGCTCCTGGAATCATTGGAGCACGCAAACCCCTCCACCACGATAAGGTGTCGGCTCCAGGAGGAAATGTGAGATTTAAAGGTAGATTGGTTTGGTGACTGGCACTGACTGCAGTTTTTCAGGTGCTTAGGAGGTCCATGTTGGTGAAGTGGAAGTGCAAGCAGCTGAAATGAGGTTCTGCTTATGACTTCTAGACAAATACTCTGTGACATGGTAAGGAGATCGGAGATTAGGAAGGACTTTGAAAAAGAGCTGTTGTAAAGCTGTTAATGGAACAGAATTCATCTCACCTAAGCCACTTATCAAGACCTACACCCTCTCATCCTCTTCAGCCAAGGAGACAGTGCTGACTAGAGATCCCACTGCTAGGAGAAAATAAGTCAAATTG